ATATATATATATACAGCCGACGTCCTTTGAAGAACCCTCAAAAATCAGCTGTTTTAAACTCAGCATGATGACATTTTGGAGCAGACATAATTTAGACAAACTGGGCTCCTCACAGCTGTTTGCAGGTTTGTTGAAACTAATTTATTTTTATTTTTATTTTATTTTTTTATGATGAGTTCAGTTTAACAGATCATGTTTATGGCGCATCGTAAACGAGGAGTAATCAGGACAATAATGTCAGGGAAAGTGACTTACGACCAAAACGTCCGCTGAAATTTTAAATCAAAAGCTAAAAAGAAAAAAATCATCCAGTGGGCGATAAAAGCCTCTAAAGTTGAATGATGTTWAATTAAAAGTAAAAGCTCATAAAAACTACAAATCAAGCATAATTTCAGAGAATTGTTTGCAATTAAAAAGCTTCATAATTTCTCTATTCTTGTTTGGTTTTGTTGGTCATTGTGAAGAGGAGCATGCAAGGAGCTTTAGAGGATAAAAACAATTAGTGGAGATTAAAAGAAAACACACTAATCAATCTCCATTGTGGCAGCAGAGCAGCAGCTAAGTGGAAATCATTCACTTAAAGTCATTATTAGAAGGAGAAAGAGGTCAGAAAGTCCACCTGAACCACCACGTCAAGGAAGACCCCTGCGCCGGTAAACCGTAAAGTTTGACTCAAACTTTAACGTGAAGACTCATATTTTTATAAACTTAGAACAAAAAGTAAGGAAATCAGTGTTTGGTAGATTAGTTCTTTGTTGTAACACCTGATTGGCAGCACCTGCGGGCACCAGAAGCTTCAAACAAGTTAACAGCAAAACAAACTGTTGGTCAGAAGATTTGGCAAAACTTTTCTTTTAGTCTCTGACTTTTTTCTCCTAATATTACAACTTTATTCTCAAAATATCATGACTTTATTCTCGTAATATTACAGTGTTTTTTCTCGTAATAGGAGATATTCCGATTTTATTCTTGTCATATACCTTTTTTCTCACTTTATTCTCATGATATTATGACTGCATTCTCATACAATTTTTTCTCATACAACTTTCTTGTAATATTNAACAAGACAAATGAAGTTATATCTCTGGATAAGCTTATATCAGAAGGATCCAGAAATCAAAATGTAGCTTATAAAGCAGAAATTTTAAAATGTAATGAGGTCATTTTGACCAAATTTGACTTAATCCTCATTTCGATATCATGGGTCACATTTATACTCATTTTTTCTCCTTTAAAATGAAGGTTTTCTACATTTAAGCTGATAATTAAGGATGTTTCTGCTCAGCAGTTTGGCCTACATGAAAGCTGAAGTCTCTGCAGAGACAGGAAGCCTTCTTCTTAATGACTCATCTACATAATGTATTAAACAACCGAGGTGCTGCTAATTCGATTTAAATTTATTTATGTATTTATTTGTCTGCTGGTGACTACACGGCTCCGACATCCTGTTCTCGTCTCCGCTAAGGAAGAGATAATTGGGTTTTTCAACACCATCCGTCGCCACGGAGACCAGACGTCTCACCACACTAATCTGCTCCTCCCTTTTCCCTCCTCCTCTTCCTCCTCTCTTTACCTCCCGTCACTGCGCTGTAGGTTAGGAGCAACCAGGAACTTCATCTGAAGATAGGAGCTGTTTGATTTGGAAGTGTTTCAATGTTAAAATATGATATAATCCAGCCCATAGGAACAAAACAGCACAGGTACAGGTGGGCAGGTGAGAGACAGTGAAATGTGAGAAAGTGGCTCCGAGGGAGAAAAAAAAAAAAGGTGGTGTTTGACGTCTGAGGTGAGAGGAAAATCCTCGGAGGGTGTATTGAACCGGCACGTCGTAGAACTGATTACAGTAAACACTAAGATYAGACTGAAGACTTTTCCTTTTTGATAAATCCTATAGTCAGATTTAGGTTTCCTGAGTTATTATAGCGAAGTGAAGATTCGGCGCAGTCTGCTGGCTTCTTTAGATTTATTGTTTTTTTGTGTACAGTGCCTTGAGACAACAGTTGTTGTGACTTTTGGCTATATAAATAAACTGAATTGATCAGAACCGCACCTGTGCAGCCGGTCCTCCAGCAGCTCCATGTACCTGACGGTGTTCTCTTTCAGCCGGCTTTCTGCACAGAGACAAAAAAAAAGGCACAAAGAGAACAACAGGCTGTTACTTGTACCTTCATTTGCCACTTTTTATTGAAAACGAGGTGGTTTCCTAGCAACTAATCAGAGCTCTAATGCTAATAAAACCCACTTGTCATTTGAGGCCTTATAYACGGGACCTTTTAGAAAAAAGGTAGTCATCATCTCACTTGGTGACGGCTTTGTGCAGAGGAGCTGCGACAGAGCAGTTCAGCACAAAGAACCGGCTGACTGAAAATACAATGAATCAACGCAACGAGGCCTTTCTGAGTGGAGTTCACCTGTTCTCCCTGGCAGGGGYGGAGCTAGACTGTTTTTGCAAGGGGTGGTCAGGGTGGTTTTTTTAGGGGGGGTCCCAAATTAAAAAAAAGCACTCGGAATTTGAAAATTCAAGATGGCTGCCATAGCTAATTCCAAATGGCTTTAAAGTGTCTGTAGCTGCGTTTCCATTGACCATGAAAATGCGCAAATTAAAATTTTGAAAATAAATTTGCTCAATGGAAACACGTCAATTTCGAAACAACTTCCTTTTTTCAACTAAATGTTTTTGTGCTAGGATGAGGTGTTTTTTTTGGCCGTATCGAAATTGGTGTGTTTCGCAAAACTGCAATGGAAACACTTTTTTCACATCACGGGATTCACGTGGTCAACAACCGGCTGTTTCCACTGACGAAAAAGACAACAGGAAGTAGTTGTAGTAGTAAAATTACTGAAGTTGTAAAATAAAGTAGTAAACTCACCGACTACAATTTCTCCAAAACACAGCATACGTAGCCGCTCCCAAGTATAAGGGGCTTGTTGCTCGAAAGCCTCGATAAGACGCCGACGTCTCCTCTGRTGATGAGCGCTAGTGTTGTGGTAGCAACATGCTATGTGTTTACATCCATTGTCGCCATGTTTGTAATGACTTATTGCGAGAACAAACGTATTCATGCATGACTTTAATAGCATTTCTTATTTAATGGAAACACTGCAATTGCGAAACTGTGTTTTTTCGACATTAACAGAATATCGACAAAGTTTTGCGCACATTTGCAATGGAAACGCAGCTAATGGCATGCCTATCTTTCAAATACAAAAAGTCAAAGAAAATATCTTCATATTTAGGAAAATTATCATAAAACACATAATTTAGCCTATTATGTTAAATAACTGTCATATTTTCCTTTGAATTTGGCTCATTTAAAGTGAAACAGGAAGTGACATCAAAGGGGAACCCTGTTAAGAAAGAAAACTCCCTGGTCTTTGTTTATTAAAACAATGGGCCTCATGCGAGAACATGTTCGTATTCTTATCCTAAATTTCTCTTACTTTTGTTCGTACAAAGGGTTCGTACAAACATGTCACGTCAGATTCAACAAACTCTTCTATCTTCAGGAAACGTGCGTAAATGAGCTGCGTAAATTYCACCTGTTCTATCCAGCTGCTCGTGCACRCGAGAGGAGATTAGCATAATTACCACCCCAAAAACACCATATAAGGCTATATTTCCTGCCTCAGATACAAGGAAGTGTCCATTCATTCATGAAAATTACAGCGAAAACGTAAAAGAACTTTACGCATTCATAGATTGAAGTCCGTCTGTCAGAGATCCAGAAAAGAAAATCTGTCATTTTTAGCAGGTCAGCTGTGGGATAAAAAGAGCTGCTAAAAGTATAAACAACTGTGTTAAATCATTTTCATTTATTCAGAAGCCGCAGCGCTGCGCACCGACAGGTCTGGACCACTCGTAAATTTTGTTTGTATCTGAAAAAAATCTTAGAATACGAAAACATTGGTGAATGCCACAAATTCTCCTAAATCACTCGTACGCACAATTTAAGAACAAATCTGTGCGTACGAACGGTTCTTGCATGAGGCCCAATATTTAAACTCTGACTTTTTTTCATCTCTCTCTTATAGGGACTAAAATTATCTAAAGAAACGTCAGAAATTCCCTGCTGTCTGTGTTGTAGCCCTTGTAGCAATGTTCTGTTTACATGCAGACATTCCCCTTTGACATCACTTCCTGTTACTTCACATGCATATATCTCAACAACTGTTCATCTCAGTGGTGTGAAATTGTTTTTGCAATGTCTTATCCATGTTATCTTTCCAAAAGTGCAATCACATTTATCCCAAAAAATTGATGTCACAGGCTCTTTAATTCAGTTGTTTTAAAAAATATTTAAAAATTTTTGAGATTGTAGCAAAGAATCAGAGTGCTAGTCACAAGTTATTATTCAGACATATTTAGACATACAAACCTGAAGATTAGTATAGACGTAGACAAAAACTATTTTTACCAAATTATAAATGCTAACCAAAAATTCAAGATGGCCACAACAGCTAACTTTAAAATGCTATAAACACAGCCATTTTAAAACTTTAGATGAAATTTGTTGTGGAGTAAGAAGAATCACAAGACAATTGCCGATGCTAATCCCAAATTAAGCTAACCATGAACGCCAATACTAATTTTTATAAAAGAGTATAATACTGCCATTTTGAATAAACACAGCTAAAAATGTATATAGTACAGTAATATCAAATAACAATCTTTAACAAATTCTAAATGCAAATTAAAAATTTAAGATGGCCACCAAAGCTAAAAGGCTCTGATTCAGCTCTTTTAAGACTTACTGAGATTAAATTTGTTGAGGAGTAGAATGACCACATGTCGATTACCAATGCTAATCTCAAATTAAGCTAACTGCTAACATTAACGCTAATTACAAAACGCTATAATTCAGCCATTTTTAAGCACACAGCCAAAAAGTTTATATACTACAGTAGTATGAGAAAACTATCTTTAACAAAATCTAAATAACTGCCAACTGGGGTGGCCAATCAGGTGCCAGAGGTGGCACTCACCACCCCTCTGGCTCCGCCCCTGCTCCCCATGCACGTGTTTTTTTTTTTTTTGGGGGGGGGGTACTCTAGTTTCCTCCAACAAACCAAAAACATACATTTTAGAATAACTGGTAACTCTGACTTGTTGTATGTCTCTGTGTTCCTGTGATGGACTGGAGACGTGTCTTCAGTGTCCCCCACCTCTTGTAGTGACTCCTGGAGATAGACACTAGCTCCCCGTGAACCAGAAAGGAGAAGCAGGTAAAGAAAAAGGATGGATTGCTTGACTTATGAAACTAAAGAATAATAAAAACTGTCCTCGTCTTCCAGGAAGTAGCTTAGTTTTGTGTTTGTGTCGTGAACAAACAACCTCTTCCATTTTGGCCGCTGCCCTTGGCAGCAATCAGCGAAGTCTGCTGCCTGCTGAGATCTCCGGTGTGAGCYGAGGCAGAGCTCATGAATTTTCAATCCAGGCTCTCTGAAGGCCTTTGTTGAAAGTTCCTTCAGCTAGAGACGCACCGCCGTGGGCATCAGGGGAGCAACAGAGTGCCTCCTTTTTATGATCTTTTTTAGCGCTGCTTTTATTTGCGCGGCCTGACRGTGACTGCTGCGTCCCACAGACTTACAGGAAGTAATAATATCGCTACACTATGAGGCGCCAGTGTAAAATAAACTGTTAAAAATGGTCACTAACACATTTCCATTATTTAGATCGCTTTTTGAGTGTAAAATCCTAGATAAAAAAGTTCCATATTTATTATTATTATTTAGCTCACTGTCCTTACATTTTGCTAATTTTTACAATTTAATTTGGAGTTATGTCTAAATGGAAAAAATTAATCTTAAATATTTCACCTAAATGATAAAGTTTATATTAAAGTATTTCACAATGAAATGCAGCCATTGATGGTGCGCAGCTTTTTTGTGACATCATCAACCTGCGACAAAAGCTAACGCTGTTAACACTGCTAACKCTGCTAAAGATGTAATTTAAAAATTTCAACCAAAATGTGTTCATTGAAAACATGGATGCTACCTGTGGTCCGACAGTTTGAAGTTAGCAAATGAAAGTTTGACGTTTTGTAGGGAAATGTTAGTAGCGTTAGCAGAGTTTGTGGTGGTTTTTGTCGCAGGATGATGATGTCATAACAAAAGCTGCACATTCTATTTTGAAATGCATAAATGTAAACTTGAATATTTAGCCACAATATTTACATTTTTTAAATTATTTATAAATTTATGTTTTTTTAAAATTTACCATTTCACATTTAAATTTAACATTCAATAAAAGTTAGTAAAATGCAACAACGGTGAGCTAATTAATGAAAATTGTTTATTTTACACTTGGTGCCCTGTACTCCACTGTTCTACGTTTTATCTCATTCTAATAAAAACAAATTTTTAACTGTCAGGATTGAAAAAAAATTTAGTTTTGGGGTCTCCAAATGAAACCCCGACTGATTCAGTATCTTCCGTAGAATTAAACCTTATCTTTCTCATTATTTTGTGCAGCTTTTCCTACGTTTACAGTAATTTATTTTCATTATTTTTTGGCTGCGCACTTCTTCTTCTTCTTCTTTTTTTTAGCATTTACGGTGGTTCTTCTTCCTATTTTGTACTTCAAGCTGCCCGCCCACAGGGAGGAACAAGCCTGAAAAAGCAATAAAGAATGGGAGGAAAACTAGCCTCTCTCACACTAAGAGAATTTAAATATATTAATTTGGGACCTTTGGTTAAGAAAACACTATTTAAACCACTGCAGTGTTTTATTGAGTTGAAATGGTGACAGGATGATGAACTCTCCTCTGCATACAGCAGACACTTTTATTAAAACTGCCCTTGTTTCAGTATAGTTCCTCCTATATATACTGTATATACACATCTTGTACAGCTACAGGCTGAATGCCCACATGCATTATACAACAACCATCCCGTCGCTGCTTAACGAAGCCAGAATGAATCGAGTTTGACGAGCGACACTCAGGTGGGAGAGGATCTGGCATTTAGATGATGGGCAGTAAGTCAGCCGTCAGGATCAACTGACAACCAAACCAGAGGCTGCGCTCTTCGGCCACTTTTGGGCATCATAGTTGTTTTCATCTTCCCTTCATTTGTCATCCTTTAGCTCAGTGTTTCCMAAAGTTGGGGT